ATATACAAACATCAATTGTATTTCTATATACTAGCAATGAACAATCCTGATAATAAAATTAGGAAAGCAATTTATAATAGCATAAAAAATCAAATATATGGGAGTAATTTTAGCAAAAGTGCAAAACTTGCACTGTGAAAACTACACAATATTGTTAAGAGAAATTAAAGGAGACATACATGGGTGGAAAGACATCCCATGTTCATGGATTGGAATACTTAATATAGTTAAGGTGGTAATACTCCCAAATTAATCTACAGATTCATTCAATCACTATGAAAATTATTATACAACTGCCTTTTTTGTGCAAAATTTGACAAGCTGAGCCTAAAATTCATATGGAAATGCAAAAGATTCCAAAGAGCCAAAACAATTTTGAAAAGAAAGGTAAACTTAGAGGACTCACACTTCCTGGTTATAAGAATGAGCATGCTCTACTCCACCAATTTTGGATCTTTATGATGATAAAAAGGTTTAATTTAATGTTAAAGAGAGCTAATACAAGACCTTATAAAGATTTATCAGAGAGCGAGAAATATGTTAATCAAGCAAAGATCATAGATTCATATGGTATATTCTATTTTAAAATTTCATATGTAAAGTTAATGTACATGAAATTACTATTATATCTTAAACAATCTGGCTATTATATCTGACACTTCACTGATCATTAAGGTTAATTCCACTTATCTCCCTGGTTCTGCAGATATCTCCTTACCCCTCATCTTTCCATGATTGCATCATATGAAACCATGAAAAAGGATGACTTTCCCACCTAGAAAAGGTCCATTCTTGAGTTAAGGGTATACAAATATGTTACCGAAAGCTCAGCCACTTGTCCCCGAGGCTGTATCAGAAGAACAAGAACAAGTGGTTTGAGGGGAAGGAAAGAGAAGTTTTATTACCTTGCCGGCAAAGGAGGAAAAATGATAGACTTTCTCATCTCAAAATCCAAATTTCCTGAACCTTAGCAGAAATACAGAGCTCTTAAAGGATGGGTTCTTAGCTTCAGGCAATGACTGTTCAACTACAGTTGATGATTCTGATCATCCCATCTCCACTGAAGACAATCTGGTGACCTCTGCCCAGGACCTCCCTTTACCAGGTCTGGACTGGGCCATCTCTTGCTGCACAAATAACAAAAGACTTACCCTGGCCCTCCCAACTGCTGGCCTGAGGCAGAGATGCAGGCTTTAGGTCTCAAAAAGGAGTGGAGGATGTTTTAAAGAGATAAAAAATATTTTTGCCATTTTTTCAGGCCATTCCCTCTGTTACATAATTCCCCACTCTCAATATTTCCCTTCCATATCCGTGGGAGAAGAGATGATTACTCTGTTACAAGTGCAGTACTTGCACTATCTCATGGAATCATTCATATTAATGCTGGCCACTTATTTTGAAGGTTGACCAAAGGTGTTTATTGAGATATATGACAGAGCCAATTAACATCGCTATACTGATTCTATCACATTAGTTCAAAGTGTTTAGAAAAGGTAACAAATAGGAATTTTCATACTTTATTATTCCATTCATGTTTGTTTCTCTTTTATGTTCCCCAGGTATTTTGTCTTAAAAATTTACAAGTACTGAAACTGAGAAATAATCCTATCAAAGAAATTCCTTCTGAAATTCAACAACTGAAGTACCTTAGAATTTTTAGCATAGCTTTTAATTGGATTAATGTCCTTCCACCTGGGTAAGGTTGATAGTCTGAGTTTATAAACACAGAATATAAAGAGTTTACAAATTAGAAAAGGAACAATTTCGCTTTTGAAAGCAGCTAGCAGCTTTTGGGATATTTAGTAATTCTTATTCTGTTCTAAGTAGCTGATTTGCTTCTTATTATGATGTTAAAAACGATCCTACCAGCTATATAAGGTGGCAGTTAATATGGCTCTAATGAATATATATCTAGGTATATCCATTATCTGAGTATGAATTAAATTGACAGAAATCATTAAAAGCAGTTCAGATGAGAATCTTGCACCTATATCTTTATAGCCTTTTTGGATATGAAAAGAGCACTGAATTTGGAACTAGGAAATCTAGACCTTTGACTTTAAAGTTGATGATAATTACCCATTTGATCTGGAGAACGTAACTTAACTATTCTCAGCCTCAATTTTCTCATCTATAAACTAAGGAGACTGGTTTATATGATATTTAAGATCGTTTCAACTCAACAGGAAGGCTGGTATTTGGGCATAAAAGTCCACATATGGACTGGTAATCATTTAGCTCCTAACTTCTAAACCTAAACCTTAGCCAAATGTCAAAACAAGATACTTCTTCCAATTAGAGTTTAACAAATTGAATGTAGGTTAGGGCAAAGGGACAGGGACTCATCTGTTTAGAGTTTTGTAACCACGAGAAGCTCTTTGTCTTTTAATTCTCTTACAAAATGAAGATAATAAATCATTTTGAAAATCCAAATTTTTTTTTTCTTTTCTCAGAGCTTTTAGATAGAAAAGATAAGAAAAGGAAAAGCAAGGGTCGGGAGGAAAGAGACATGTTTTGGTGATGTCATTACCCTTTAAGTGAACAAAGGAAAGCACACAATTCATGAACAAATAATGTTTGTTACAAAAACAATTTTTAGACTCAACCCATGAGGTTATGTAGAAATAACTATCACAAAAAAAAGTCCTTAACTTTTTGAGTGTATAGTGGGAAAAAAATGGCATAGAAAATTGCTACTTTTAACTAACAGAATCAAATTTTTGTCTTACTTGCTTGATTCAGTTTGCTTTAATTGGCAGGCAGGTTCTTTTGGAAGGAGAAGCTATTTAGAACAAAGAACCTAATAACCTACTTAAAAGCCTTGTATAAAGAACTGA